TGTTATGATTATTCTTGACTTCATTGTGGAAAAACAGGTGCAGAGTAGAGTGCGGGGTAATGGTTAACTAAGTTTATACAGTGTCAGGCTCACCCACAGAGGTTCAGAGCACCAGCCACTTATGAGCCTTACTGTGGGGAGTACAGGGTTAGGCAACATTCCAAGGGATTATAAAACATCCAACTCTGATGTCCAGTCTTCCAAAACTCTAGTCCCATGCAAGGCTCTTGCATGTGAATGGGGGCAGGGGAGTCTTCTGCTGTATGGCTCTCTGGAATGTCTGCCAGGCATCCACACCAGCACGTACTTAAATCAATCGCACTGGAAAGTAACACTTGAGACTAAATGAAACATGGAATGATGCATTTCCAAAAAGAGAAACCTAATACCATTGTAACACAGTATTAGCTAATGCTGCTTATTTTCCTACATTATCTACTAAACTGACCCAATGATAAATCAATGAAGGTTTTCTGCTGTTTGACAAGTAACTATTATACTAAGACCTTCAAACTTATCATAGGTGTGTTTGTCAACACATGCAATGATATTGCCAGTTTAGTGAACTAGGGGTGATATTTACAAGACTAAAAAGAATTGGGCCAGTGTGGTAGCCTAGTGGCTAAAGTCCTCACCTTGAACATGCCAGGATCCCATGTGGATGCCAGTTCTAATCCTGGTGGCTCCACTTTCCATCCAGCTCCCTGCTTGAGGCCTGGGAAAGCAGTCAAGGATGGCCCAAGGCCTTGGGGCCCTGCACCTGTGTGGGAGACCTGGAGGAACCCCCTGGATCCTGGCTTTGGATCAGTGCAATTCCAGCCATTGTGGCCAATTGGGGAGTGAATCATTGGATAGAAGATCTTCCTCTTTGTTTCTCCTCCTCCCTGTATATCTGACTTTGCAAAAAAAAAAAAATAATAAATCTTTTAAAAAAAGATTAATATGACAATTTATATTGTAATTATTAGATTAAAAATTATATTCTTAATATTTTCAAAGCTTGGCCTGACTCAAGCAAAAGAAAACGTCACAAGGGACCCATCCTGCTCATCTCTCCCAGAGGAGCCCTGCCCTCCTTATCTGCATGCCTCAAAGGGCTCTTCTGAGTTTAGATGCCCCGAACATGCAACCTTGTATGATAACCAGCTTCTGCCACAGCAGCTTGGATGATCCAGACCATCTCTGTGGCTCCCACACACAGATTATGTGGGTCATTAATTGGAGACATATCATTGAATTTAATTTTCTTTTATCTAATATGTTCTACTTGCGGCATTTAGAGACATGTAAATTTGGAGAATAGGCAAGCACACATGAGAGAGTGGAAAGGACAGCGAGACCCTCTATCACCAGGTCACTCCCACCATGGACCCAGTGTCTCCAGGTCGAAGCTTGGTCAGGTCCAATCCAGGAGCAAGAAATCCCCATTGGGGCTCTCATGTAGGTATCAGGGGTTCAATCTCGAATATCTGTCACTGCCATTTCAGGGGTCTCATCAGGAAGTTGATCAGAAGCAGAGTGGCTGGTGTAGAAACTGGTGCTCTGTTAACAGGATGACAGCATTATAAGTGGTGGCTCAACCTGCTTTGTCTCTATGACACCCCTGATAAAAATATTTTAAAGAAAGATTCTCACAAAGATTCTCAAAATGGCGTAAAAGAGAGATAGCAAATAGAGACATATTTGAAGAAAATTCAGTATTCAATAAAGGCAGCAAGACTCAATGTTATTTGAACTTACCCCATCATGACCAGGTCAAAGGAAACCTGTAGTCTCGGTAATTGCAAGTGAGACCACAGGACTCCCCCTGCTGCTGACTGCCAGCAGAAGGTGACATCACTGCTTTTTCTGTCCTCAGTTCCCTGCGGCCAGAACCACGCTCTGGCTGAGTGGAGTGGAGGTTGGGCCCGGGGCCTGCAGGGGTGGTGAGGCTGTATATGAGCGTGAGGACACGTGGATCCCACCTTGTCCGTCTGCAGTTCCACTGTGGGTGACTGTATGGAAGCAGCACATTTGCAGTGACTTTGCATGGAAGTATTAAAGGTATTAGGGAGAAGTCCACAGAGGACTGGGCTTTTTTTTTTTAATAAACATTATTTTAAAATTTGTTTGTATTTGAAAGCATTATGGGAAAAGAAACAAAGATGGAGAGGGATCTGCCATCTGCTGGTTCATTCACAAATGTCCTCATTAGCTGAAGGAGGGCTGGCCCTAGTTAGGAGCATGGAGCTTCTCCTGGCCCTCCCACATGGGTAGAGGGGCCCGAGGACTTAGACCATCCTTTACTGCTTTCCCAAGCTATTAGGGGCATGGATTGTAAGTGGAGCAGCTGGGACTCGAGCCGGCACCCATATCGGATGCCAGCACTGCAGGTGCTTAGCTACTGACTGCTGGTCCTGTCTTTTTGTATGTTTTTGTTGTAGAGGCAAGGACAAAGAGCATGGAGAGCGAGTACTCATAAGCTGGTTCACTACTCAAATTCTTGTAACATAATGGACTAAGTTACTCCTGGCAGCTAATGAGGCAAGTGTGGTAACACAGCAGGTTAGCAAGTGATTTAGATACCAGTATTTTGTTTAAAGAGTGCCAGATCAGGATTTGGCTACTTCTAATTAGCAGCTTCTTGCTGATGTTTCTGGATAGATAGCAAAAGCCTACTTGAGTTTTTTTTTTTTTTTAATTTATTTATTTTTACTGAAAAGTCAGATATACAGAGAGAAGAGACAGAGAGGAAGATCTTCCATCCAATGATTCACTCCCCAAGTGACTGCAATGGCTGGTGCCATGCCAGTCTGAAGCCAGGCTGAACTTGCTCCTTCCATGTCTCCCACACAGGTGCAGGTTCCCAAGGCTTTGGGCCATCCTCAGCTGCTTTCCCAGGCCACAAGCAGGGAGCTGGATGGGAAGTAGGGCTGCCAGGATTAGAACCGGCACCCATATGGGATTCTGGCATGTTCAAGGAGAGGCCTAGCTGCTAGGCCACTGCACCAGACCCCCTAGTTAAATTTTTAACTATCCATATGGGAGCAAGCATGGATGCAATTCCTCATTTCTAGCTTTGAATGGGCTTAGCTTGGCTCTTGTAAGTGTGTGAGGAGCATGAACCACTAGATATAAGTTCTTTTTGCATTGTAAATAAATGAAATAATTGTTAATAGTTGGAAGCTATGTCTTAAGCTAAGTATCCAACATAGCTGAACATGTCTACTTGAACTTCATATTTCAGTGATGTTCCAAGTGGGCTTGTGCAGTCAGCTATAATTGAATCTGGCATGATGGTTGCATCTCAGCCAGGCACTCTGGGTTGTGTTCTGCAAACCAGAAACTAAATCACTATGGCAACAGTTTTCAGAAGTTAAAAGTATTTGAAAATTGGTGGTGGTGATGATCAGAATTGAAAAAAATGAGTTAAATTTACAAATTTTCTGGTGACTTCTATTTATATCATTTTTGACATTATAAAAGGATACAATGACTTATTTCAAAATTTCAAGTGATAGGTTATATTTTAATATCTAACTCCAGTTGACATTAAATGTGATTTCCTGTATAAGCTATGTTGTGTATTTATATGTTGATGTGAGTGTAACAGTAAGGGATGGCCACACATAAATTACATGAATTACAATGATTGTTCCAGAGCTAAGAGCTTTTGGAGAAAGGTGACATTAATGTGCATGTCTTTCTAAGAATGGGATTATAAAATGAATTAATTTGTTAAAGGCACATGGCAATGTTTTTCATAGTAATGAATCAAAAAGACTAACCTTGGGCCTGGCATTGTGGTACAGTGTGTTAGATCACTGCTGGTCATACTGCATAGAATATTGCAGTGCCAGATTGATTCCTGGCTGCTCCTTATTCAGATTCCTGCTAATGTGCTTGGGAAGGCAGTGGAATTTGGCCCAGAGATTTGGATCCTTGCCCTCCATGTGGATGAAGATAGAATTAATTGCTTCCTGGTCCATTGATCTTGTCTCTGCTTCTGTACCAGTACCAGTTCCAGGCTGTATTGATTCCACTGCCCTGCAGTATGTCTTGATCTGGAATTGTGATTTCAGCTTCATTTTGTTATTCCAGATAGCTTTGACTATTTGTGGTCTTCTCTGTTTCCAGATGGATTTTTGTATGATCTTTTCTAGCTCTGAGAAGAATGTTTTCAGAATTTTGATTCATATCACCCTCAATTTGTATATTACTTTCAGTACTATGGATTTTTTAAAAGATTTATTTATTTATTTATTTAGTATATATTTTTTATTGTTATAATTTTTACATAGTTGACAAGGGAACAAAGGGTCAAGGCCTGCAGGAAAGTTGGTAAGACCATTGTTTCCATATTATTATTATTCTTTTCTGTATCTGGGGTAAGGGAGGAATTACCCCAGATAAGGGAGAAGCCCCACCCAGTCTCCAACCCATGCCAGTTCCCCGATGTGGAGCACGCTCTGAGGGTCCAACTCAGGTGGTTTCGATAGTTCACAAGTTCTGAATTGCTGCCAATCTCACCCTTCCAAACATAGTGAAATCTCTACAGAATGCACTGGCTTATATAGTTCACCTTAGAATCTCCGTTTGCCCAGATTTTCACTGCCAACACCTGGCTGGGAGAGTAGATCAATTAGTTCCTTCCTCTGTTGTGGTACTAGGTGTCATCTGCAGGTTCTGATGGACTGCTGTATCCTCCCTGTGTACCTGGATATGCTGTCCACTGTGTCATCTGAGCCTCTGAGGAGGCTTAGCTTTGACACATGCACTCCATGTTCAGACCATGTAACCTGCACTTCTCTTCATGTTGGGATTCTGAGATCAGCAATTCAGTTGGGGGATTCCCAAAGAAACTTCATCCTAGGTGATCCCAGACTGGATTCTTGTGTGTGCATGCCAATGCATGGTTTGGCACAGTTTTTCACCCTAATCAGCTTACACAATTGTTGGGTCAGTTCTGTTTACAGCCCTGTTTTTCACTGGAACCAATGGGTGTTAAAGTCCAGATTGAATCTGCCCAGCACATACTCGGCCCTCACATAAATCAGTGGGAGCTGCAGCCTATTTGGAGTGACCCACACTAACACCCACCAGGCCTTCCCATTGCTCTGCATCCCAGGCTTGCCCATATGTACCACCGACTTGTCCCATCTGTCCCACATTCCATTCAGCTCTCATACATGTCAATGGGCATTGAAGGCTAGTTCAACCCAACCAGGCCCGCCATCCAGCCCACACATAGGCTGACAGGTGCCGTTCTGACTATCCACCGCTGCCCCAGTCCTGGCTTTCATGCTCTCCAGTGGGAGTGATAACCCCAGAGGGAGGTACCCATTGTTTCCCTACTGGGCCACTCCTACTTCTGGATCATGCACTTTCCAGGTGGTACTGCAGTTGAGTTTAATAGAGTTTGCCCCCACTGCCAACCTCTGCCAGCTGATGCTGTGGGAAAGGCCAGCCAACCCTCACCAACTCCTATTTATGCTTGCCCCAATAGGAACAGTCAGCCCAGCCTGGCTTTTCCCTGATCTAGCTCACTTGTGGTCCACGTATGTTGTAGCCCAGGCTGGTCTGGTCTGTGCCACTCCAACTCACATTCTCTAGTGGGATTGGCTGTCCAGGAGGGGAGCCCTCCACATTGCCCCTCCCAGCTTTGCCTCTTCCCTCCCTGGTTCTCGTGTGTGCTGGATGGGTGCTGCGGTCCAGTCTGCCTATCCCCCCCTTGCCTTGGCATTTGCCAGTGCGTGTTGTAGCTTGGCCTGCCTGGCCCACCCCCAATTTCCGCTGATGCTGGTGAGGGTTACAGCCTAGCCCTGCCCAGCCGGCCACAATCCCAGCTGTAATGTGAACTGGTATGTGTTGCAACTAAACCTGTCCCGGCCCACAGTCTGTTGTGGTGCCTAGATTCATCAGCGGGTGATGTGTACTGGTTCAACCTGGTCTGCAAATGTATGTCGGTGGGTAATATTATCTGGTCTGGGTTGCTCCCTGTTGTGGTTGTTGTGCTCACCTGCAGAGACTGTGTCCTGACAGAGAAGTTTCCCAAGCTTCTCCATCAGAACCTCTCCCAGTGCCAGGTCTTGCACATAGTGGTGGTTCCATGGGCCAGCACTACTTAGTTCACCTCCTGTCCTGGCAGGAACGGTGGACATTTCCTGAATGGCCTTCAATCCATTCCAGTTCTTACTGTTGGATGTTTCAGCCCAGCCAAGGTTCATCCATGACCAGACACAGCTCATGGATGACTCAGTAGGGACAGAGACCTGGTCTAGTCCCTCCTACCCCTACTCTGGTTCTCATGAGCACCAGATGGTACTGGAGTCTAGCCTGGCTCAGTGCACCCAAGTCCCAGTCCACACTTGTGCTATTGGATACTGCAGCCATATCCAGATCGTAACACAGCCCCCACTTGTGTCCCCACACTCACCAGTGGGAGCCACAACCCAGCCAGTGTGTCCACCTAGGTTCCCAACCAGGCTTGTTCCCAGCCATAGATCGTGTGCATGTCAGTGGTTGCTCTGATCCAGCTTGGCATAGCCCCTCACCTGTCTTGTCATTTTCCTTAGATGCTGTGACCTAGCATTCCTGATTCATGCAGACCAGTTGGTGTAAGAACCTAGCTTGGCATGACCTGTGCTCCATCCTGATTTCTGTTCTTGCTTGTGAGCTAAGGTTTGCTTGGTCCTGCCTAGTGTGCCCCCTTCCGTAACCAACTCACACATTAGCCATCTGTCAGAGTTACCTTTACCCAGCTTTCTTGACCCCCAGGCCTGGGCCGTGTGATCATCAGTAAGAGTTGTAACCCACTAGGGGAGTTTCCCAAGTTTCCCCACTTGACTCACTCCCACCAAATCTCATACATGGTAGTGGGTGTTAGGCCAGTGCCCAGCATAGTCTGCCCTTCCATCTTGGTCTTGCATGAGTTGGTTAGCTTTGCAGCCCAGCCCACCCCACATCCTATTTTAGGATGCACATTTGGGTGCTGCTGCAACTGCTCAGACTGTTATTGGATCCGTTACCTGTGAGTGATTGCAAGTTCCATGGTCACACCTAGCTCAGTCCATCACCACCCCAACTCTTGAGCTAACCAGTGGGACTTGTATTTCCACAGGGTTTGGCCCATACATTCCCCACAGAATCTACCCCTGGACCTGGTTCTCTTGTGTGCTGGTTAGTGTCATGGCCCTGCCAAATGTGACCCTTCCCTTGATCCGACATTCTGTTGGGTACTAGGATCTAGTCCTGCTAGACAGGCCTCCAGCCTTAGCTTTCACATGGACTGGCATGTAGTGGTCAGCATTGTTTGGTGATAGCAAGTTCTACACAGGACTCACAAGTAGGCTGGTGTATCAGTCTGACCCATACAGATTGTCTGATCTCTTCCCTCTAAACCCCCAGGTCTCAGTACCCTTGCTGACTTTCAAGGAAAAGTTACTCTGTCATTGGGCGTCCATCCGGAGTGATTCCTCACCCAGACGCACAGTGGCCTTATTCATGGACATATCTAGGTAGCAATCCCAACCCTCAAGGCCCCAGAGCTCACCGCTGGGCAGCCAGCAGGTGGGGCCTGGTGTGAAATGACACTCCGGCTGCCCAGGCCTGCTCATCACATGATCGAGGTGACTGTAGTCAGGGCCCCAAGCATGGAGGCCAACCCGGCCTGGGTGTTCCCAGCAGCCAAAGTTCTCTCTACCAAGATCCCAAGGCATACCCCTCAAAAAAAATATTTTTTTTTAAACTGGAAAGTCTGATATACAGAGAGGAGAGACAGAAAGGAAGATCTGTCACATGATTCAATCCCCAGGTAGCCACAATGGCCAGAACTGAGCTTATCTGAAACCAGGAGCCTGGAGCCTCTCCTGGATCTCCCACTCAGATGCAAGTCCCAAAGGCTTTGGGCCATCCTCAACTGCTTTCCCTGGACACAAACAGGGAGCTGGATGGGAAATGGGCCATAGGGATTCGAAATGGTGCCCATATGGGATCCTGGCATGTACAAGGCAAGGACTTTGGCCACTAATCTACTGTACCTGGCCCAGTTCTTAATGATCTTGATCTTGCAGATCAAGGAAAGGATAAATTTCTCCATCTTTCAGTGTCTTCCTCCATTTCTTCTTTAAATGTTTTGTAATTTTCATTGTAGAGATCTTCCACATCTTTAGTTAGGTTAATCAATTCCAAGGTATTTAAGGTTCCTCTCCGCTATTTTAAAGGGGGCTGTACTTACAAGTTCACTCTCAGCCATGGGTTTTGTATATACTAGGGTAATTCATTTATGTTCATTAATATTGTATCCTGTTGCCATGCCATACTCTCCCACAAGCTTCAATACTCTATAGTCTTATGTTTCTGCTATGTACAGACTCCTATCATCTGTGTACACTGATAATTTGACTTTTTCATTTCCAGTTTAGAACTCCTTTAATTTGTTTTTCTTGCCTAATAGCTCTGGCCAGGATTTCTAATACTATATGGAGTAGAAGTATTGAAAATGGCCAGCCTGGTCTAGATCCATATCTTAGCAGAAAAGCTTTCAGCCTTTCTCCATGTAGTGTGATGCTGACATGGGGCTTTCATTTATTGTTTTGATTATGTTACACAATGTTCTTTCCAGGCAATATCTTGCTTAAGGTTTTAGCATGAAGTTGTATTGGATTTTATCAGATGCCTTCTCTGCATTGACTGAGATGGCAATATGGTCTTCACTCTTCAATTTGTTGATGTGGTGAGTTGTTGTAAATCAGAATGCAGAGTTTTCAACCTTTCAAGAAAAAAATATTGAATTTGTTATGGAGCAAGGTGGCAGCTATCTTGCAGGATAGTGCACCAAGGGGAAGGCAAAACAGAGTTTTTATAGTCAAAGTGAATATACAAACAGTCATGTTATGTGAACAACATCAGAGTGGTCATCTGTTAATTCTATTGCAATGACATCTCAGGCAAAGTGAGTTACTGAAGTTAGCAGACAATTACATTTTATAAGCTGGTCCTGACTTGGTAACCTAGTGGCTAAAGTCCTTGCCCTGTATATGCTGAAACCCCATATATGCTCCAGTTATAATTTTGGTGACTCCACTTCCCATCCCTGCTTGTGGCCTGGGAAAGCAATTGAGGATGGTCCAAAGTCTTGACCTTGTCACCTTTGTGGGAGAATTGGAAGAAGCTCCAGGCTCCTGGCTTTAGGTCAGCTCAGCTCCGGACATTGTGGCCACTTAGTGAGTGAATCAGTGGATGGAAGATCTTTCCTCTGTCTCTCCTTCTCTCTGTAAATCTGACTTTCCAGTAAAAATAAGTAAATCTTAAAAAAAAAAAAAAACAGCAAAAACTATTAAATAAGCCAGAGGCTCTTCCAAGAGTCTCACCTGAACTGGCACCTTTGCAGAGTTCATGGTTGGTCCTGTTGTTATCTCTTCTAGCTGATCATTTGAAATATAATATGTTGAACCACCTTGTGATTGTGTGCAGTTAACCTGAATATTGACAAACTTTTCCTGACTACATATAGATAGCAAAAAACATACAAAAAAGCATAAATGATTAACGTAATCCTCTTCCTCAGTACTTATGATTATTAAGAGACTAAGAGTCAAAACATCCTTATCTATATCTTTCAATAACTGATTGCCAGATTATGAGACTTAATTAGGTTTGAAAAGCTGTCATAATAGTAGATTGAAGCTCCTTTATTTGAGATGACATATTACCATGATCAGTCAAATGTCTTTTAATCTGTTCCCAGTCAAGGCACAGGAGTCATTCATACAGTGGAATAATTCCAGTCACATCTTAGGGATAGTTGCTGGTTAATGAATTTTATTTGGTCTCCCAGCCTAACAGTTGATTTCAAACTGGCTCTCTCAGCATATAATTGATTATCAGTTTGTCTCTGGGTAAACCCATAAGTCTTCTGAATCTTTTTGCCAATTTTGCACAAAACATAGAGTCTGGACTCCTTAATGCAAGGCTACTCCAGTCACAGCTGCAGCAATAGTGATTGCAATGATCCGCCTTATGGCTGCAATTAACATTCCTATAAACTGAGTAGCCTGTTTTTTAAGCTCTTGAATCAAGGTATGAAGAATGAACACAGATGCTGACTCTTCCCATTCTCTTTCTAGTCTAACAAGTATCCTCTACCCCACATGAGCCCTGAGAAAGTATATAGTTTCCCAGGGGGAAATTTACAGTATTTGTGGGTAACGTATACACAGAACAATTCATGCATAACAGAGAATTCACAGATTGATTCCAATGTATAGACCCCACCATCAACACAAAGGGTAGGCTAACACAAGCTTGAGTATAAACAGTTAAATTTTTGTAAATGGGGCCCAGCAGCATGGCCTAGCGGCTAAAGTCCTCACCTTGAATGCCCTGGGATCCCATATGGGCACCGGTTCTAATCCCGGCAGCTCCACTTCCCATCCACAGCTCCCTGCTTGTGGCCTGGGAAAGCAGGGAACCTGCACCTGTGTTGGAGACCCGGAAGAAGTTCCTGGATCCTGGCTTCGGATCGGCATAGCATCGGCCGTTGCGCTCACTTGGGGAGTGAATCATCAGACGGAAGATCTTCCTCTGTGTCTCTCCTCCTCTCTGTATATCTGACTTTCCAATAAATAAATAAATCTTTAAAAGCATTTTAGTAAATGACACTGATAGGTTTCCAGTTTAGTTGAAAACAGTCTATCCAAACCGCCATGGGTTCCAGAGCATTGACTAATTTCCAAATGTGGTTCTGATGGAAGTATCCAGGAATATAAGGGGAAGGAGCAGCCATGCCACCTCCATGCCAAACAATAGAATCAAATGATCTAACATGAATCTCAATGGTTTCGTTAATCTGATTCAATCACAATAAACTTCCATTGAGCTAGCTATGGGCAGAGCCCACAGGGCTTTGATCTATGACATTTTCATAGGAAATATTAAACATCCTCCTTATTTCTGGTCCCACACAAGATACCCAAAATAGCCATGATACAATGGAATCATAAACTAGCATGTGACAGTTATGCCTGATAGCCCTGTGTATTAACTATGGACTCAAGAAAAGCTACACCAGCTTTGTTTCCCTATGATCTTGTTGATTTTATTTTTTAGTGCAGTAAGTTAAGCCCTGTGTTCTGGTTAAATCAGTGAGAATGTGACCCTATGCAAATGGGAGTCCCTTCTGACCATAACCCGTATTTATATTTAACTGTATCCCTTCTTCCTTTATTAGAGTTCCCTTGTCATCAAAAGGCTCAGGAATCCAAGTGGAATCATTGACATACCAGAACACTTGAATCCCACCATGTGACAGAGCAATTTAGTGGGGAATGAGGAATGTAGGTCCAGTAAGTGTGATTACTACCCCAGCTTACAGCTGAAGCAGAGGACAGAGTGTGATGGCAACCATGGCTAGGAACAATGTCTCTGGAGACATTTTCCCCTTACATTGCATCATGTTGGTTGCTTCATGTGAGAGCTTCTAAAGTTGACCCCATGTCAGCAGTTTGGCAGTTGTCACAGTGATAAATGGCGCCTTGGCTGTCAGCTACATCCTGTGAAGTTCCTGTTTTTAAGGAAGATCCATTTTCTTCAGGGACAGGGATGTTTCCATGAGAACTGCTGCACTTCTGAAGCCAGATGAGCAACAGAGAAACCTGCAGTTCTTCAGAGGATCAGTCAGGGAATCCTGTGGGGACAAGAGCAGAACCTCTGCCCAGGGACAGTAGTGTTCCGGTCAGTTAGTTGTCTTACCAAGGCAGTGATTTAGAGAATATTTGTTAACAGGAGTATTAAAGTCTTCCCGAGTGAAATTTTTAAAATTAAGTGTTAAAAATGCTAGGCATAAAGTGTCTCAGGGGGATATCACCCCTTTTATTTTTATTTTTAAGTTATTTTTTACCAGTTGACTTTTTTTAGGGTGTGATGTGATGTGTACATTTAATAATTGTTTTTGAAGGTTATAAAGGATGCTTGTAATGTATAGTATGGATTACTCTAAGATAGTTTGAGATTTTTGCTTAGTATATGTAGGTTTGTTGTTTTGTTAATAGGGAGAAGGAATTTTTACAGATAGGGTAATAGGGTTTGTCAAGAGATTTAATGCAGTTAAAGTTGTCATAACCATAGGTTGTGTTTGAAAATTTACTGAGAATGTTCATCATAGCTGAGAGGTTGTTAATTGTTACCTGTTCTTTTATAGAGTGTTCAGGCATTAAGAAAGAATGATTCATTATTTCTATAGGGGTGGAGATCCTAGTTGGTTTAGTTTAGAGTTTTAAGAGAGCATAGGAACAAATGAATAAAAAGTGTGAGTCATTAGGTTGTTTATTCAATAAGGAACAATATTAAGTAAGTGTAGCAGTAATAAGTTTAAAATACAAGTTAATACTTACTGAATTTTACATTATGAACACTAATGAGAAATTAACATGAGTAACTTGTTAGATGTGAACTTAAGCATAACATGCATTACTCTAATTTTTTTGAAACAGTTAGGAATAAACCTTTAAACTGTATGAACCAGAAACATTGTGTAGTTGACTTTGTGATATTTAGGAAGTAACTGATAAATTAATTTTGCATCCTTTCTTGTTTAGCTGGTATGTTTGTACAGGAGTAACATGATTTTAATTGCATTTTTGTTAAAGGTGACATGGTTTGGATTAGTGGATGTTTGGAATTCAGCTGGTCTTGGTGAATGCCAGTGTAGCTTTCCAGCTTTTTGTTTTCTTCAGTTTATGCGTTTACTGTCTGTGTCCAAGAGGAGTACATAACATCAGAATTGTTTTTGCTTAACAGTGGTTATGACCAAAAGTCACTCCATTAAAGGAATGGTTTTCCTGATGGCCTTCAATTCTTGCTGTTGGATGTTCCAGAGCCATTTTGTCTATTAAACACATGGTCAGTATGTTTCTAGTATAATCTGACTGGAGAAGGAGTTGGCATAAAACTAACATTTATCATGAGCTACAACTTTTTTTAAGATCAGGAGTGCAGAGGCCAGGCAGCGTTATTGTAACACCCAGCTAGGGTTTTTGCTGGTCTGTAGCCATAGATCACTTGGAATGGATTCTGATTCAGTTGTTAGCTCTCACCTGTTTGTAGACATTTAGTTTCCAACAGACAGGTACAAGAACCAGTAAGACTCTGCTCCCTCCTTTCTAGTTTTACCTGTGGAATTTGTTCATATTGTTCCTTACAGTTGACACTGGCCAAGTTGGAGTATTTCAGGACACCCAAGATTAGCTTCTGCATGACTGATTTGGTGTCAGATTATTAGTGAAAAGTTTGAAAAAGTTACCTGTTTCAGGTGAAACACAATGGGTTAACCTGCAATCAACTCAAAGAACAAATCAGATCAACAGATGCACAAATCCCTGGACAGCTCAACTGTTTGGTCGTGCATGAGAGTTGAGACCATAGGTTTCTAAAGAAGTAGATATTCCCATGATTTGTTTTAGGTTTAAGGAAGGAAAGGACAGTCAGATTGAATTTGATGGCATGAGATGATTAAGCTGCATGGCTGCTGAAATTTAAATAAATTCACTATGATAATTCAATTTTAGTGAATCGGTTACTGAAAAACCTCAGCACATTGTGTCTGTATCCATCATCTGAGACCATTGCTACATTTAAATAAAAGGTCAGATTTCCGATGACGGTGGGTTGACAACCTTGAAAAAGGAAAGCATCAGACAAAGGATGGCTGTATCACATGAGAGAGAAAATGCTGCTGAGGTTTTATAAAGGAAGGTTGACTCAGTCCATTAATTTAGACAGGTTGTTTCAAAGGGGAAAAAGAAGCTCCACATTGTCCATGCGGATCCCTGGATTGTCCTGAGCCACCTTGGCTGCTGTTAAATCCACCAAGGTGCATGATTTATGATGGTGGCCTGCCCAAGGCCTTGTTAAAAGCACCAAGGGGAAGCTGACATGGCGGCTGTTAGGTTGGATTACTAGAAGTCCTGAACCATTGCTTTATGACTCTTAAATAACAGGTATGCTGGTCAGATTTCATGGCTTTGGGTTTCAGTTTATCAAAAAGTTAACCAGCAGGACAGTCAGATGTTGTATAGGCATGAGATTGCCAGCTTCTGCTGGTTTAATAACAAGTGCAAGATCCATTGAATTTGGGTCCTTTGGGTCAAAAGGAACCCCCACCAGGGCTCAGCACATGGTGGATCTCCAGGCATGAGTTGAGCACAAACACCTGGAGTTTAAATCCAGGCAACAGATATTTATTAACAGTCCTGGTCTATTCCCAAATAAGCTAGTGCCATTGTCCATCCAGGCTGAGATTGAGACAGTGCAATGATGCTGGAGGTTTAAATAACCAACAAATCCCATTTCATGAGTTTTTAGGCTTACAAAGGTAGCTAACCATAGGGATCAGCACATGGCCTGTGCATTGTCCATCCATTGAGGCCCCCTGAGACCCAACCAGCTGCATTGGAGGTTTAAATACCCAAGTGCATGATCCATTCAGATGAGGGCGGCTTTCTTAGTGGATTCGGTTTGGAAGGGCCCCAGCAGGGCCAGCAATGGCTTTGCCCATTGTGATCCAGGCATGAGACGCCCCGTCCTGAGAACAAGTAATTGTTTTTGAAGGTTATAAAGGATGCTTGTAATGTATAGTATGGATTACTCTAAGATAGTTTGAGATTTTTGCTTAGTATATGTAGGTTTGTTGTTTGTGTTAATAGTTGAGGGAATTTTTACAATAGGAAAATAGGTGAAAAGGAAAGATTTAATAGTTAAAGTTCATTTATAACTCATAGGTTGTGTCTAGAGGAATTTACAGATGCTGTGAGGTAATGTCCATGAGGAGATAATTGTTACCTGTTCTTTTATATGTGTTCAGGCATTACTACAGAATGATTCATTATTTCTATAGGGTGTGGAGATCCTGAGAGGCTTTAGTTTAGAGTTTTAAGAGAGCATAGAGGAAAAATGAAGAAAAAGTGTGAGTCATTAGGTTGTTTATTCTAAGGAACAATATTAAGTGAAAACTATTAAATAATAGTTTTAGAAAACATTTACCCAAAGATTTGATGTTTGCTATAAATTTAAGAGTACAAGTTAATACTTAAACTGAATTTTACATTATGGACACTAATCAGAAAATAACATGAGTAACTTGTTAGATTGGTGAACTTGAGCATAAATGCACTAATGACTTAAAATATTTTAAAAACAGTTTTTATTAAACATTTAAACTGTATGAACCAGAAATAATTTGTGTTGACTTTGTGATTTTTATTTAGAACAGAACGATAAATTAATTTTAGCATCAGTTTAAGATCTTTAGATTTATGTTTGTTTTTAGTAACATGAGTTTATTGATTTTTTTAAAGATGACATAGATATAGATAGAGTCAGATTTTAAACAGTTGTGTCTGGAACCATAAAACTTGTTAATGAATGAGACAGCTGTTTGTTCTCTTAGCTTTGTCCAATTTATACTTAACTGTACCAAGATGACTTAGGAAACATAACATCTGTTTAAAAAAATTTTTTTTGTTATGGAAAACTCCAAAAATTGGTTCACATTAGATGAAAGGTATAATTTTTTGAAACGTATAGTATTTTTTGACCAGTAAGCACAGACCGTAATGTGTGTTAACAATTTAAAATATTTCTAAAATAATTCTGACTGGAAAGGAGTGGCATAAAACTAAAATTTATCATGAAGCTATTTTTTATTTAATCTCAAGGAGTGCAGAGGCCAAGCAGCGTTATTGTAAAGCAACACCCTTTTTTGGTTTTGTAAAATACACGGTAGAGGACTGTAAGAATAGAATTTGGATTAGCAGTTGTTATCTCTCCACCACACCTGTAGAATTCAACAGTTTTAGCAGAAACATAGACATCAAGATAGACAAGTGACTGCCACACCCAAACAATTCAGAATCCTGATGGGCCATAACAACATATGGAGCCTGACAAAGCTGTGTGGCATGCAGCCTTCCTGAGTGCAAGATGAGTACTCAGAACAGGAACAGATCAGGTGGTGAGATACATGTGTGTGGTTAAAGGTCAGTGCAAATCCTGTGAGCCTGGAACCTGGAATCACCTGCCAGGGCTGTGTTAATCACCACAGTATACCCTCTCCCCTACTATTGCAGCTGTTTTTGGAGCTCAAAATGACCACTACCCTCTGACTAGGGTCCCCAAAATGTTAGGTCGTGTAAGGGAGGTCATGTCAGATGAGTATAGGATGGACTAAGAAGTCTATTTACCAATGGCAGTAACCACTAAAAATTAATAAGTGAAAAGACACCATGATAATTCAATTTGAATTGACTCTGAGATGAAAAAATGATCATTACTGTGAAATATATCCATTCAACATAAGACCTAAAGTTTATGTTTCTCAGTAATGCAGATTATCCTAAGAGATATGCATTGAACAACCTAGATACATTTACAAAACTGTAGACATTGATCTTTTTCTGACTTTTTGGTCTACATTTTACTAAAAGGCTTCATCTGTTCCGAAACTCTTGAAAATATACAAAATTGAATTATGCTTCTGTAATTATTTAGACAAAGGGAATGTTTAAACTAGATGAGAGAGAAAATATGCAGTATGGGTTTGATTCAAGCTCAGCCACTGAAGGGTGCTGTTATCCACCTATAAGGCCTTGGTTTATCTCTTTGGTTTCAAAATGTTGGTAAAATAAATCTCCAGATTTCCAGCAAGATCCCTGGATTGTGTGCACTTTTTTTTTTTTTTTTTACTATGGGACAGGTGAATTT